ATTTATTTCATTTGTTCTGGAGTGGCCGTATGCATTTAACCCGTCAGCAGAGTCAGCATGGTTTCAAGAACTATCTCAGTTCCAGATGCAGCTTCATGTCTTTTGGGGTATGTCTGTACCACAAGATGGTATTCTAACATATGTTTTTAAGTCCTCATTGGTTTTTCTTTGAGAGCTATCCTGTATTTAGTTTCATCTATCTTCCAAACTCTGACCAGCTTCCAAATCCTTACCAAAGGGAAGCTTCTTCTGCACAAGAATGCTGCCACCACCGTGTTTCTCTCTAGGGCTTATATGGTTAGGTTGATTTGCAAAGTTAGTGTTCTGCTACAGAGGCCAAAAACTTTTACTGTACTTGTTATTTTCCACCTGTCTATTGTGTCCCACAAAGAACTGGCCAACCTGAAGTGAGATGACTTTCTTTTTTGCCGCCCCATCAATACATTGTGTAAAGTCAAGTCAACACAATCTCTTCCCTACATGTAAACTGTTAATCTAAGCAGCTCCTTCAGACTTAATATTCTTCTCTTGGCTGCATCTCTGCTCATTTTCCTCGTTCCCCAGTCTTAGATTTTAGGTATGACCAGGCAACTAGAGATCTGTAAAAGATTGTCTGTTTTAAACACTAAAAAAAAAAAAAACATTCAACATAATCCATAAGCCAACTTATTGTTTCAAAAACATGCCGGGATAAGAATTTTTTTTATGCCACCATCAAAAACGTAACTTTTTTGTTGTTTTTAACTGTTTTGACAGAGCTTATCCACCATTAAGCACAGGGGAGCACCTTGAATACTATGTTTCTGTTCTCATGAGAACCTGGGAACAAATTGGAAATTGTTAAGCAAAGGTTATTTTAGCCAAATATTGTTTCAAAGCAAGTGGCCAAATAAAAAATTCGCACTGATAATCAACCTTTTTCTACAGCCTTGATAGTCCACAGACTAAACCCAGTGATTGAAGTCAAGAGGGTGTCCCTATTTGGACAATCGGGAGATTCTATTTTCAGCTGGATTTTTTAAATAACTTTTTACATTAAATATGAGCTGCATGAAGTTTAACACAGATGTTGCTCCTAACATTCCTTCCAGTCTCCCCAGTATTAGGGACTCAGACCCCAGACTAAATTGGCAAAGGGCAAAACTAGTTATTAAATACTGATATGATGGTATCCAATCTGATTCCAACATAATTTGTAAAGTATGTAATCATTTTTCATCTTATGTTAAGTACATTGCCTTTGCTTTGTGTTTGATTAAGTTGAAGGATTATTGTTCTTTAATCTTTTTATGAACATAAGAAATGGCAGGATGAGGAAAGACCTAACAATTATAAGAGTAATTTAAATATTTAACTAACCTTTCAACAAAGAAGAAATGACAGTTTGTTACAACATAAAGTAGTCAATTTGCAGTTAGTATTACAGTGTACATCTTTAGTCCTCTCAAAATAAATCAGCACACAGCTATTAATGGTCCTAGAAGTCCAGAGTATGCTCTTTATTTGACCTCTTTGTGTTAAGAGGCGTTTTATATTCCTTCTTGAAATAAAATACAAATAAATATAATATTAACTAAAATGTAAGTGTTGTGCTCACTTTTGTGACTGTAAAACGTTTGTTTTAACCCAAAATAATTTAACAAAAACATTCCTATCTGAGTTTCACAATAGCAGGTAAACTTGATGCTTCTCTTTTTATGTTTTTCCTTTTCATCCATCACAGTTTTAGGTCCCAGTGATCAAGGTGGACCTGCACATGAAATTACTATAAATCTGAGTAAAAATCTGGTTTGTTTCCTCCTGTCGACTGTATCCTCTTATTAGGAAGCACAGATTTGATAGTTTATCTTCCAGACAGCTTGTCATTATTTTATGTCTGGTCCATCAGTTATTCTGCTAAATGGACATAAGCCTGTGAAGTGTCTTTGAGCTTTACAAACTTTCATTCGGCATCTCAAAATCTGAACTGTGTCCCTGAGTCATATGTGAGAGATTTAAAAAGTAAGGTCTCACTTTAATAAAGCCCTCATTTAGGAGTGTCGGGCATAAACCTTTTCCTGTTTCTTACTGATTAAACACTGGATTTATTTACGGCTGCATCTAACAGAGAACTCACAGCAGCACCCCTGGTTACAGACCCATAGCGACAGGACCTCATAGGCCCAGCAGCATCCCTCGACACTGCCTGTTTCAAATATATAGCCTCAGGAGTCATCCTTCCAGACAACGGACACATTACTTTTTGCTCTCTTAAACATGCATATTGAAAGATGAGTCAAGGAAATAGAGAAGAGTGAATAGAGCTGTGAAGAGTCTGAGTTGAGGTCTGAACTGTCAGGACCTGCTGCTTAGTTTGAAATACAGATTCCTGTAGCTAACAGCATCTGTTATGAGGAGCTTATAAGCCCCCACATTATTTTACCTTATACAAGAATGTATATCCATGCTACTGTTTATATCTTTAGAAATAAACTAGCTGATACCTTACTATGCAAATTTGAAATATTTTTCTATAACTTTTTTTTTTTTACCCTGTCATTAATGACTTGGATTTTATAAGAATTATTATTTTTATTTTTTCATGGACTTCTGGTTATGGACTAATGACCATACATGTGTGGAGCAGGTGGCGTGAGTTTGTCAAACCCCCCAATGGAGAGGAGTGGCACACAACGAACCGAGAGCTCTATCTTGTGGCCAATATAAGATGTAGCACTCTTTACTGTACCGGCAAACGGCTGGACAAATTTTATTTTATTTTTTCACACATTCCTTCATTTTATTCCTTAAATTGTAAAACTGAGTCGAATTTCAGTTGATATTCTCTGGAGGGTGAACGTCAAATCCATTCTTAGTTCTTATTTATTATATAACACAGAGGTTCCCAAACATTTCCTCTTCCTACCTAGAAATAAAATTAACTTGGGACCCAAACTATTGTTTGAGAAACAAAGAGTTGTAAAAAAAAAAATCATTGGACCACAAGTGTTATCATATTATAAATTGCATCAACAACCAAAGTAGCTGGTTGTGTCTATGTTTATGTGATGCTGTTGTATATTTTTAGCACTTTAACATAAATGTGATATGTTTGGTTTATTTGTTGTTAGTTTGTCTCAAGAGTGCATACTGATTGATCAAGGAGCCATAGTCCCCAACTTTGTGAATCAATGCTCTCATAGCTCTATCATCCTCAGCTCCACACACCTCCCATTAAAGCTGATCAGCTTCTTCATTCCTGCTGAAAAGAGCATCCCCACAGAATGATGCTGCCACCACCATGTCTCACACTGGATGTGAAGTGTTTGGTGTCATAATGCAGCCAACACACTTTGTTTTCAATTTGTTTTACTGATGCTCTGTTATGTTTGTTTTAGTGAAGGGCTTCCTGTATAGATGTATCTTTTGTTAGAATTTAAACCATTTTTTAAAATCATTTAGCCACTCATTTTGTCACTTAGCTTGAGTTGACTCTTAGATTCTTGCAGACTCCATATGTTAGCATCTAAACCTTCCCTGCCTTCAAAATACTGTGTTGTTCAGGCTTTGCACTATTTTAAGGCTCGAAATAGGAAAATATGAATATTTAAATATAAAATGTTCAGTTAATTTATAGGGATATCTAAATGGGTTTAAGGGACTTTCAATAAAAATTATGAATTGCCTTTTGATCCCACTGTCAGTTTCATGTTACCTTTGCAAGAAACACACTGTAGCGGGACATAAACTCTTTCTGACTCAAAATGGCAGAGTTGGGATATTCATTACAGTTTGTATGTACCTCTTATCTTGTTGAAGAGGCTTTTCTGCTCTTAAAAGAAATTAGTACATAGACATGGAAAATCTATTAGCACCTTGGAAAAAAATCTTGAAAAAAGCCAACTAACATTTTTTCCACTCCAAAATAAATGTTACAGAAACATTTTGATCTATTTAATACTTTATAGTTTCTTTAAACTTATAGGGATATGTGATGCTGTATGCCCCTTTTTCTTTTCCAAAGACTCTAAATCTGTGTTTTAATGCATTTTGCATCGTATGAAAGAGAGAAACATTTCAAGGGATTATTAACTCCCTCCAGAAATCTGAAAATTGGTTATAATGATCCGAAACTATTCTGCTAAATCAAGATGGTCAGAAATTAAACCCAAAAGAAAATCTGTTCCAGGAGCCACAGAGAGACCAGAAGAGAGGATGGTGGGATGAGTGAATTATGAATAGTGTCTATATGTTCAAGTTAGGTTATAGATTCATATTATGGTGTCAAATTGGCAGAGACTGTACAAAGTAAGGACACTAGGAGTATAAGAATTGGGACTCCAAGTATTTTTTTTTTAAACATTTACTTCTCATCATGTTTTTTCTTCATCCCTACTCAGTAAATGTGCCCAAAGTTCAAGGTAAAAAAAAGAATATAAAAATCAGCATAAGATGACGGGGAGATCATTCTTTTTCCTCTTGTCAATATTTAATTTATTTCCAGATAAGTCGAGCAGGCTCACAATTCCCTTGGGATCTCTTGACTGACCACCATTTGTTAAATTTGAGTTTACTAATCAATATATATATCTTTATAATGTTGCATAAGTGTATTAATTAATAGAAGTCTCAAGATTATTTAAGATTAGGGGCTTCTTTGTGAATATGTATGCTTTGCTCTGATATATATTAAAAAAATACAATTTCTTACAGTGCATACAGGTCATTACGAACCCATCCTCTACATAACAACATATTATGCATCCTCTTTTGAACTGGTGTCTGTCCAATACAAACAACAGATAAAGAAGCCACAGGCTGCGGCTTGGGTCTAATTATAACGCAAAAAAAGAGAAAAGAGCAGGACATGAAAAGCCACCTATTCATGATGAGCTGAAGCGGTCCAACAACTGGTTGGACTGGCTTCAACCCCTCTCCCCACCTTTCCCCAACCCCTCCCCCCAGGTTTGATGTCACCATCCAATAGCTGAGCGGCTGCTGGCTGCGGTGCGCATATGTGCGCGCTCCTCTGCCTCAGAGCGTCGCAGACAGCTTTTCCAGGTTACAGACGGACTGGAAACGGAGCATTCAAACACAGAGCAGGAGATCTGCTATTTTCATCACTCATCATCCGCATCCTGCCTAGTAAAGAGGGGGTCTTTGCTCCCCCCTGCATCTTTTCCTATCCTTTTTTTTCTGGAGCAACAACGATGTTATTCTAAGGTAGCCTGCAGATGACAGCATAACCGGGGCGGTGAGCTGTCAAACACTCCTCTGCAGCTCTTTGTTGAAAAGGATCCGTAGAGACATGAATTCAGCGGAACAGACGGTTACGTGGTTGATCACCCTCGGGGTGCTGGAGTCGCCAAAGAAGACCATCTCGGATCCTGAAGGCTTCCTGCAGAGCTCCCTGAAGGATGGAGTGGTCCTCTGCAAGCTGCTGGAGCGGCTCAGCCCGGGCTCCACTGAGAAAGTAAGCGCAACACACCTCCCTCCTCCTCCTCCTCCTCTCCTCCTCCTCCTCCTCCTCCAGCGGGCCTGCCTCTCCATCCCTCCGCGCGTCTGTCCACATCCGTGACACGGACGCGGCGGTTGCTGTCTGGCCTCTCTTTTTGCCCACTGATCCATGACTGAATCTCTTTTGTAGGTCACGGCGGCTCCTGTTATTGTCTGCAATAACAGCTTGCGCATATGTTTCCTGTGTCAGCGTGTAAAAAAACAGAAAGGCTCGCCTGTCTCCTATTGATCTGGTATAAATAAGGCTGCTTCACGTTTATCCAAATCATCAGGAAGTATTCAATCTATATAGTGTTGCATTTTCCATAAGACCCACCGATCATGTTGCTGAAAATGCAATCATTTTTATGGCTGTTATTAATTGTTAACCCCTGCTGTGAAAGCATATACAATATAATCCATATTTTGCATGTCATGTTAGTTGACATACTGTAGTCCTGTGGGGACCAGCGGGGGATCAGAGCATGTTATCTGTACACAGAGCATCAGTATAGGCCGCCATTGATAGCAGAGGCACACACAGGGAGAGATGGTTTCTTCCCCCAGTTTAAAGAAACAGTGCTGTGTTTGAGTCTGTCCAACATCAGCCTAAAGGGATCAGGTTCATTTAAACAGCATTAGTGCAGAAATTGTGAAGACATGAAAAAAATGCATGTTTTCTTTTTTTTTTATAAATACAATGTGAATAGAAAAGATTTCCTAAACTAGCTGAAGGCTTTCTTTAGGATTTGGCTTTCTGCAACCTAGAAGGCAAAATCTTTTTAAAAAAAAATTCCAAAGTGTTCCATGAATATCAGTTTTAAACCCTTGCTTTGATTTTGGTCTTGGACTTTGACTAGGTCGTTCTAACATGAACGAGGCTATTTTAATGAATTTGTTTTGATCTAAACCGGAGCCACAACATGTCTAATGAAATCTCCTGTTGCCTTAGATCTGTGCAACATCACAACTGCAATGAACTAGCTCAGATGCAATGAGGTTGCATTTAATATTGTATGGAAATTCTGCATGTAAGTAGTATATTTGGCCTGTTGAATTGATTTATTTCTTCCCATTCATCATAAAGTATTCCTGATAAGTACTGAAAGTAAATATATAATCTCAGTCAGTTTAGTTTGCCTCTGTCGATATTTAGGGGAAATGTCCTGCTGGAAAGTGACCCCCCCAGCTAGGGAATAATTATATAACTTTGCCACTGATAACTGGCTCCTGTTTAAATCTAGCATACAGGCTGTGTGATATGATGAGTTAACTCCCCTAGACGTGTCAATAACGCCACATCAGATCATAATGAAATGACTCAAAACAGAAGACCCAGTATTCGAAGCAAGACAGACAGTGGTATCATTCAAAAGTGTTTATTTAAAACAAAACTGCAAATCTGTAGTAGCAGCAGCTAGGGCGTCTATCACAGGAAATTCTGGTTTAACAGTTCAGCCCGTGTCCTGAGAACGAGGAATGATCCAGCCCGTGGGCTACCAACAAGATGTGACCGGCGCCACCCAGAGTGTCCCAGAAGCTGCAGCACTGGAGAACGGAGAGCAAGCAGGAGTCCGAAGCCAGGTCAAGCAAACAGATCAGAACAGGAAGGCTCAGAGGTCCAAAAGTCAGGAGTCAGGTCTGGCCAACAGATCACAACAGGAACAGGCAGGTTCAGAGGTTCAGGATTTCAGAGACAGTTCAGGCAAACCATTTAGAGGGGAACAAGCAGGCTCAGTGGTTGAGAGGCAGAACAGGTCAGGATCAGGTAATCAGCAATACTCAGGTACGCTAAAAACCCTCTCACCACTGGCACTAGAGAATGAGAATAATCTGGACATCATAACTGGATTCAAACACTTTAAATAGAGGCAGGAGCAGGTGGATCAGATGAGTAGTAATGATAAACCAGGCAGAGTTAGACAGGTGAATGAAATGAGCAATGAAGCTAGTCATCAGCACCAAGATCATGACACATAATGCATATAAGCTTTGTAATGGAATTACCTAAAATGGCAACCATGAATGTTGTACGCAAAAACATAAACATACCTTTCAATGACATTACTTTGAAAATACATATTATATACATACAAACTATCTCTAGATGTCCAAATCTATTTTACTCATCCTTAAGGCTGACTAATGGGTGGGGAGAATTGGGACACCTGCTCTCAGATTACACATGGGAAGCAAACCGTCCATTGTGATGTCCTAAAGGTGCACAATCCTTTTTGTCATTTAAAGATCTTTAGACGGTTCCCTACCCTCTTGTCTGGCCTTTTACTAGTATCTTCTCATTTCAACACAGCTTATTATCATAAATCTATTCAGGCCATCGTTATATTATCCAGCCTGAATATTGTTTACTCACTGCCCAGTTTATAGCCTGTATTAAAACTTCTTTGCTGTATAAATAACACTTTGTATGGAACATATGACTGACTGTTTTTGTTAGGTTTGTGGCTGCTAATATAATAAAGATAAAAATGTATTTGGTAAAAAAGAGAGAATAATAGAAATAAACAGAATGAAAAAGTGACATAATGTTTTGAAGCATTTATATGCTTTACTGGTTCACTATTAAGCCTCTTAAACAGATGTAGATTAACATTGTTTTATACCTAAAGATGATAAAGCTTTGTATAGAAAATACAACTAGCAATAATCTCAGATTGTTACAAAGCAGTTAAAATCCTGTGACTCAAAACTGTGTGAACATTTGTCGACAGGGTGGATTTTTAATGAACTGCAACCAAACCTGACTCCAAAAGAACAGAAACAAAACAAAAAGCAAAGTTTAAATCTGGATTACAATAATAATTCGCATGACTCAGAAATAATTCACACCACCCCCACTTAAAGCACTGTGTGTATTAAAGGGGAACACCATTTTTTTTACATTGGGCCCTTGATTTTACGTTATTACATCATGTTCTACTCACCCATATTAGTTTTTTGTGTCATTTGGAGCTGTTCCGAAGATATTCAGTTTTGTAATCCAAGTAACATTTTCCTATGGGCAACGACTTGAAGGCACAAACTAATCTGTTCATAATTTATTCTTTATGGTACGCCAGCATTCAGAACTTGTAGGCGAATCACTGTCCCCCAGACATCTGCAGTTATATTTTTTATATTAATATTTTTTTAACACAAAGCGGAGTGTGTATGACGTCATCCGCGCGCGCAGGCTACCATTCATTCATCCTGTCCACAGTGTTTGAGGCGTTTCTCCACACTCCTCAAACACTGTGCTAGGGGCACCAAACACTAAGGGAGGCACCAAAAAAATAGAGTTTATAAGGAGTCCTAATGGTAGAAATAAAAATATAAAAATATTTCAAATAAAAATCTTTAATGCATACTGTTAGATATAAGCTATGTAAAAAAAATATTTGCTCAGTTAATAGATGGACCTTCCTCTAGTTCCCCAGCTATCCATAAGTCAGCTATAGTGAAATGGGCTACAGTACCGAAGGTGATACTTTGACTAAGTCATGAGTAAATGAATCAGAAACAGCTGCGCAGTAAAACAGCTGATAAAAAATTGCAATTTGGGTTAACTCATAAATAGACATTAAGGCTTTTTAACGACATTGATATTTTTTTCAAAGTGCGCTAAAGCCATGCTTTCTCTACATTTTGTACCTCATCTACTTGAAGTTTGAACTTTATTTTCTTTTGTGCTTCAGCTTTTTCTACTGTTAAAAAACAAAACAAAAAACAAAACAAAAACAAAAAGCAGCTCCACTCTGTCCCAACAACAAACAAACATGAATATAAAAATCTATCTCAAAATCTGTTGTCCTTGTTCATTTTCCTCCATAAGTAAAGTATGGTTATCCTATTTGCGAGCATATCCACCATTATTTGTAAAATATGTATTAAATGATTTTGTTTCACTCTTTATAACACTGCAATGTTCAGAATGGCTAGCTGGGGTGAAATGTTGTGTTTCTACATATTTATGCAGAACTCCTGCTGGAATTTAAAGTTCACATAAAAGATGTCATGTAGAGGATTATAAAATGGGATATGGTAACTGCAATAAATTTCTGGCGCCTATCTCAGGGAGTCACCTTACAGGTCACCTGTCTTTGGCGGAGCAACATGCATGCACACTCAGGGCGATAGAGAAGCCAGTTGACCTAACAGTTATTTTTTTTTAACTGCGTGAAGAAGTCAGAGTATCTGGAGAAAATGCATAAAAACACTCGGAGAACATGTCTAAAGACCCTAGGTATGGATTCAAACCCATTGGTTTTACCAGGGGTTCAGGGTGGGGCCACTTATGTTTTGTTCTTTTCACATGGAGGCACAAAACAAAAGAATAAAATAAACAATAAACAAAAACAACGGCATTAGATTAGATTTAAATTTTATTATTTTGAGGCCTAATCAACATAAGTTCACCAACGTTACGTTGACATGGCAACGTCAAGCAGCTAGTGGTCACCCCAGTGGCTGCTAGTAAATGTACATAGTTTAATGACAGAAACGAGGAAGAAACATGGCGCAGAAATGCATTTTGGATTTGTTCACTCATGAGAGACTTTATCTCCACGACCTGAGAGCGCACTTGAACATTTGGACACCTGTAACCAGGAAGGGCATCCTGCCTGTAGCTCATAGTTATAGCAATGTGCCGCTGCGCACTTTCATATCTAACATAACCATCGTATTTTAGAGAGTGTTATTTTTATATCATGTTTTTTGTGTAATGGATGTGGAGAACTGTTAAATAAACTTACATAGTGTAATAATATAAGTATTTCCTTGTTGTTTGCGTAAAAGGATTTTGGAGCTAATAGAGTCACATGTGACATAAACACAGTGACTCAGGTTCATGCCAGCTCACCAAATCTATGTTATTATAGTGTTATAGTAAAGTTTAATTAATAGTGCATATATTCACCTAAGAACTGAGGATGTCTGTGTGTTACAGACCCTGGTTGCGTACACGTAATTGTAAATTTCAATATAAAGTAGTGAATCTCAATCTATTTAATTATTATTATTATTATTTGTATTGTATTTTAAATAGGCCAATAGGCTCATAGGTCTTTTGTCCCCAAAAAACAAAAAAACATTTCACCGCAACCCTGTTCTAAATGACTTCCAGTGGCCCTGGTAGAGAGGCCCAGATCAGTTCTACAGGGATAATAGCCCCTCAGACCCAAGACATGCTTAAAAAAACAGATTTAGATTCATGTTGTTTAAATGTTACTTTTTAAAATGATTATTTAGTATTTTAGTGATTACAACATCACCCTTTAGTATCCTTTACGGAAGAGGATTAGGGCCACTGAAAAAATAAAAAAAAGTTAACAGATTTTTAAATTTCATTTCATATGAGAAAAAACTTTTGACTTTTGTTTCCACAATTCTGACTTTAATCTCAGAATTCTGGCTTTAATCTCAGAATTCTGGTGTTAATCTCAGAATTCTGACTTTAATCTCCGAATTCTGACTTTTTTCCTCTGAATACTTACTGTAATCTCAGAATTATGACTTTTTTCTCAGAATTCTGAATTTAATCTCAGAATTCTGACTTTGAGCTCAGAATTTTGTATCTTAAATTGTGAGATTAATGTCAGAATTCTGAGATTAAATTCAGACTTTTTTTCTCAGACTTCTGAGATTAAAGTCAGAATTCTGACTTTTTTCCCACATTAAACTGAAATAAAATGTAAAAATCTTTTTTTTTTTTTTTTTTTAGTTTAAAGTATTTATGTTTCGTAAAAGTCTTCCAACATCATCATCGGCGGGGTATCCCTGTTTGGTGACGTCACTTCCTGGATCCAGAGCTCCCAGCCTCCTTTACTTCCTCACAGCAGCAGCCTCCAGGCGCGTCGGGCCCAATGCGCGCAGAAAGCGACCAGTGCGCGTTGAAAAAGCAAAGATATTTAAAAGCCTACAGATCCACGAACAGGCGCTTTGTGAGAGAGGATCAGCCCATCGCTGCTCAGCGATTCAGTCCCTTTTGTTTTTGTTCCAGATTTATCCAGAGCCGAAGAACGACGGCGAGTGTCTGAGCAACATAAAGGAGTTTCTGAAGGGCTGCACATCGTTCCGCGTCGAGGTGAGTTCAGTTTGCTCTTATTCTAAATGCGGGGATCACTTTTTGCCAAACATATCTCCTTAAAAATTAAACAAACAGATATTTCTGTTAAGATAAGCTTTCTTATTTGGGAGTTTATGATAGATAAAGGCGCTTTATTACGCAGAAGACACTCGGATCTCCTGACAGAAAAGGGGGAGGAGAACCGAGAACAATCACCTCCAGTCCGGCTGAAGGAGATCTTTGCTTTCCCTGAAACCAGCAGATCTGATTTACAAACTAGATGAAAACGATGTTTGTTTACACTTTTCTGCTCCCATCTGGTCATTGTTTACTTTTTTATTTTGCAAATCTTTATCCAGAGGCTGGTGCTCCTTTGTAGACAATCATCCACCCTGCAGCTGCAAACAAAGATATTTTATGTAATAGAGCTTTCTCCCAACTTTGCAATAATCCATATATATGTAATTCATTTAAGTATTGCTGATGCTTTAAGGTTCTACAAATAAGGCAAATGGGGATGCTAACACAGTTTAAAGCAAATTAAGGACAGAGTGTTGTTTATTCTCTGTGTATTGGCCAGTGCATAGATGGGTCATTGAACCAGTCTGACAATGCAGCTCAGTGTTCCTCAGCATCGCCTGTCCCTGCAGAGCCTCCGGCCACTGAGCAAGAAGAGCCAGAGCTGCACAGAGTGCTGTCACACTGAGTTTTGGGAAACATGCAAATTGAAAATGTAGAATGCAAAGAAGCAAAGGCAGGGCATCACAACTTTAATGGGGAAGGTCTGTCTGTTGTGGCCTGCTGCTAAGCCGGGTTTTTAACAAGCACTGTTGGGAAATATTCTGCTGATGTGATGACAAATATCTTCTCATTAATAGGCTTGGTTACTGGGTGCAGGGTATGCCAAGGTTTTAAACTTAACAGTCTTAACTCCTCTTCTGTGCTTTAAAGACCTTCAAAAGAGATGGTAGAGAAACTGGCAGAGAGAAAAACAGGAATCCTGTCAGCTGGCTATAGGAATGCGGCTACAGAATTCTCCCACTTTTGAAAAAGATTTACATTTAGCCGTCACCCTTATTAAAGTAGCAACATCTTCATTTTACAAAGAGGCAAATGGCTCAAACAGATAATATTCCACGCTTTAAACACTAATAATAGAGCAAATATTACCTGCTGAAGTCTATGTATTGAAATGGAAAAGCCCACTAAATGGTCTTATGGTTAGCGCATGATTACCGTTGATCTGTTTAAAAACGTAGCTTTATCTCTACAACCTCCGGTTTTGTTTCTGATTAAAAAAAAATGGAGGCAGCTTTTGATGGATACTACTGAAATTATTAAATGAGCCGAGGCGTGTGTGGAGTAGTGGAGGAGGTGTTTATGCGTAACGCGTATCAATGCTTGCTTCATTTGGAGGAGGAGCCAAAAAAGATGACGTCCAAAGCCTCGCTATTGCGCCATATCACATTAGTGCTTCAGGAAGAGGTTCAGACTGCGCAAGAACTCGAACAGACATTTAAACAGCCTCACTACTCGGTCAAGATGTTGGAGTTTGTAGAAGAGTTGAGGTCAGTTGGTAAGAGTTTGGATATATTTAAGAATAGATTGGTTGGAAAAACCACCAATCTATTGGTTAAAGATATTTTGGTTAGATTAAACAATGTAATGGTCAAAATCTGAGCAAGCCACTGCTTTCAGTTGTAATATTAGTTGTAAAAAGTATTGCTAGTGAGCGGTTACCATCATCTGTAAGACATTGACTTCCAATTCTGAGATTGTTAGTTCGAGCACATTAGACCTTTGAAAGTTGCAATAATACTTAACAAGTATTTTGGCTAATGTGACTAATTTATATTGGTTTGCCCTTGTATAGATATAGATTTGGTAAAAGCACTGCCAAATTAGATTGGTTGGTTTAGCCAAAAGATTGGTTGAATACATAACTTCCAACATGATTGAAACCTAAAACTGTGGGGAAACTATTATTTTTGAATAAAAATGACCAACACCTTTCATTTTGCTTATCATTGCCCAATTTGCATAAGCACTTTTACAGTCTGCTTAAGCTTATTTCACTAAAATGGCAAAAAAAACCCCGTGAACCTTAAATGATTGTTCTCTTCTAAGACATTTTACACACAAAAAAACGTACAAAAGTTTTTATTATACACACAAATCATTAACAATTTCAAAGGAACTTAAATGGGGAAAAAACAAGAAAAAAAAAGTATTGCAAAAAAAAAAAAAAATCAGATTTTATCTCTAATTGTAGTTCTGTTCACATGAAGCTTCATGAATTGTGGGGATCATTGAAGCAATTAGCCCAAACGGTTCAATGCCTCATGAGGCTTCATCTCACCATCACTAATAGATATCCATTAATCTGAGTTAATTATCATATAAAGCTTTGCTCATAAATATTTCACACTTTTCCATTTTATTAGACATATTTAGAATGTATTCTACATATAAATTACCATATTTTTCCATGTTTTATACATTTACAATATTATCTACCAAATATTGTTGATTAATTTGTTTCCATAAATTTTTCTATATATGTAAAAAAATTATTTGCCTTTACATTTATTATCAATATCTTTTCCATTATAAACTGCTATACATGATGATGGATATTTATAAATGTAAAATTAAATGTATTTTTGGGCATATAAAAAGATACTATATATGTTCATATTAATTTATTACAACATATGAAAAGTGACATTAATTTGTATATTCAATATATCGCAATATGTTATGAGTAAATTATTAGTTGTAAAAATGTTCTATCAAAATATGATTCCATCTATTAACAATGTATAATATATTAGAAAAAATACATTAGTAAATATATTTTCCTTTCCTAAGGGAAGTTATGATCCAACGCTGTAATTGCTGCTGGAGATCCTGTTTTCTGTGCCAGAGAGGACCAAAATCATTTTACTCATCAGGAATTCTTGCATGCAAGATTTAGATCAGATATGTGTGACCTTTTTTAGTGAGGTCAGCAAAGCAGGATTACAGTCATTTGTGTTTTGGCAGTCAGCCTCTCACTGTCTGTGGAGCCAAAATGAACATCCACAGCTCTGTTGGCTCCTTCCTCAGTTAAAACTGGTGACATAAGAGCAGAGAGATGCTCTTCACTTTAGCATCTCTGCCAGGTTGCTGTTGATTATGTTTGTACTTTTTGGCGCACATTTTATATAAATGCAGAAGATCTGTTTTGCTTCCAATTTAGATTCTTAGTTCAGTCGCTGGCATTTGTGCACCTGCTTATTCTGACCTCTTAACCTCTTGTGCTTTTGACCACAGGAAGAGCTCTTTATTGTTCCCGCGACCCCCCTGGTGCCTGTGGGTGCTAGCCTTCACCCAAGCAGCCACCTTCTGATTAATTGCGAAAACTGATCTTTTATCATCAAAGGGGAAAATAGTTAGTTGTGACAAAACACCCACTTCCACAACATGTTTTCACATATGGTAAATCCTTTTAAGATATTATTCTTGATATATTATTCTTAGAGATGAAATTGTTAGAAAGGCATAAAAAAAAAAGTTGTTTGCTATAAATAAAACTAAACAGTGGTTCCAAACTTGCGATCAAAACGACCCAATTTAAAGAAAATGGTTGACTCTTCGATTTGCCAGGTTTTTGTGCCGAACTTTGAATAAAACTTATCTCCTAAATATTATTTGATTTTATTCAAATTTGAGCCATTTTTTTTATAGAACTGTTTGTTTGAACAGGATACTTAGATTCATTTAGTACTGTAGTATAAAGAAAAAAAATAGAATCCCATGTCCTTTGTTGGAAATTTAACATCTTATGTCATCAATAAAAAACATACACAAGTATTTCTTTGCAACTTAAGCAAATATATATACACAGTTCTTAACTATATCAATCTTATATACAAAATCAGAGTATGTTGTGATATAAATTTGCCCTTTTCCTTACATTGCACCCATTTTTGGGTATTCTGTTTATAAAATAGGGAGGTACCTAAAACACAGCCCACCTCTTTTTGAGCACAGCGCCCTTTTTTTTTTTTGCAGGGGTGCAAACAGCCGTGTGGTGTTCCCTGACACATACCCGCATCATCAGGCTTTTAGCTAGCAATGTATACAGCTGTACTTTGTATGGCTTTTACTAAAAAAATGTCAAATTGTAGGTCCTGTTTTTCTCCTGGAACTTTAACTTAAATGTTCAAAATTTCAGAATCAGCAATACTTTTACTTTTGCTGCTCAGCGCACCACATCACCCAATCAGAGAAGCTGATCTGCGAGCTGGCAGGGAGACAGACACAGCACTGCTGATGCAGATCACTAATATCACACGGTCTATTAAAGTTACTTAAAATGTCGAAACCTGCCGGCAAAATATGCTTGCCCTTTTTATTCTGGTGCCTGCAGTTTGTACCACATACCTGAAAAACGCAAACATCTATTTCCATCCACCAAGAACAGTAGAGAAAACCCCCAATTGGCGACTGGGCCTGAGGCAGCTGCTGTTGGCGATTCCTAGTGACAGCACACCGCCGCTATGTGCGAAATAATATTTTAAGGCATGATCGTGATCTTGATTAACTGAATGCACAGACAATGTTTTAAGTTGGACTTTTATCGCATAAAAATTTATTAAAAGTAATTTTTACCCACTGATCACAGCAAATATAGCAAAGTCGCTACCTGCAGTCGAACACAGGAGAAGCAGAAGCATTAGACGCATCTGTTCACACTTTACTGGATGCACTTCAGAGCCTCAAAATACTCTTGAGGCCCTTCTGACCTTAATGTGTACAAGAATAAAAAAAGTTTTTTTTATGCTCAAATTGCAGTGTGAACATAGCATTACACTTTGTGATTGTTTTAATTAACCTATGAAACATAACATCAAACATGAAAATGATTTCATGTCTTCTTTATGGAATTTCAACCTCTAGTCAAGCACACATAATCAGGACAACAGTATCGTTGTAACAAAGACAAAAAGTTAGCTGCAATCCACCTCAAAATG